AAATTTTTTTTGAAAATTGAACATCATTGATGATTCTTAATCTATTTAACTTTTGTCAAAACCTCTAATCATAATTAAGAATTAAAACAATAGTCACTCAAAATATCATTATTCTCAAAACGTTCAACTGTTACAAAATGTTCAACAATTACAAAACGTTCCAATAAACCTTTTAAAGTTGATTAACTTATTATTAATTTTACCTAACAAAACTCCCTCATAAAAGTAATTATCTGCATCTAAGAACACTTGAGATCAACATGACACCGACCTCCCAACTCCCCACTAGCTTCAACATTCCTTGAGCTTCAAAACATGAGATCATTGACATATAGTATGATAAACATCACATTACCTTCATTCTTCTTCACATACAAAACATGTTCATAGGGACACCGTATAAACCCGTTCTCTTTTAAGTAGGTATCTATCTGATCGTTCCATGGTCAAGGAGCTTGCTTTAGCCAATAAAGAGCCTTCTTCAATCTCAATACTTTCTCCTATTTGCCTTTCTTCACATATCTGAGTGATTGCTCAATATACACCTCCTCCTTAAGAACAACATTCAAGAATGCTGACTTTACATCCATTTGTAAGATTGATCATTTGTTCCGTGTTGCTAAAGAGATTAGCAGCTGAACAGTCTCCATCATCACTACTGGGGCGAACATCTCGTCATAGTCAATGTCTTCTTTTTATTGTACCCTTTCGCAACCAACCGAGCTTTGTATCTCTCCACCTCTCCTTGTGAATTGAGCTTCTTTTTGTACACCCACTTCACGCTAATAGACTAAGCATATCTCGATAACTCAGTCATTTACCATTCTGATCTATGACTTGGATTTCATCATCCATGGTAGCTCACCATTTCTTATCTCGTACAACTTCCTCAAATGTTATGTCATCAGAATCTACTAAAAGACAAACAACATGTACCTCATTAGTTGAATCATACAAGTCTCGCAAAGTCTCATTTTTTTTTATCATGATTCATTCTCCTCTTCGTCTTTTGAGCTGGTAACAGGTGGTGCTGATAGTGCAACAACTTGGTCTTCTTCTAAACTTGCTACTACAAGTGGCATAGAAGCTCGGTCTCCTTCTGATTCTCTGCAGTTCCACTCACTAACTTCATCAACTCAAACATCCTGACTTACAACCATCTTTTCAATTATCAGATCCAACAACTTATAAGTTTTTGATGTTTCATCATAATCGATAAATACATACTTCTTACCTTTGTCTTCAAGCTTAGTCTGTTGTTGAGACGAAACTACTCCATAGGCTGACCTTCCAAACACTTTGAGATGAGATACAATCGATTTCTAACCGCTTCATGCCTCTTGTGGTGTTACACCATCTAGCATTGCATATGAACACCTATTCTGCACGTAGATAGTGCACTGTACCACTTTGACCCAAAACACTTTTAGCATATTCTTAGACTTCAACATAGCTCAGACCATGTAAAGAATCGTTCAATTCTTTCTCTCAACCACACCATTTTGTTGTGGTGAGTATGAGACTGTTAGGAATCTCCTTATTCCTTCATCTTCACAGTACTTCATGAAAGCACTCGACATAAATTCTCCTCCTCTATTAGATCAGACTGATCGAATACGCCACCCGATCATATTCTCAACCATCATCTTAAACTTTTTAGATACTTCAAGCACTTCGAATTTCTCTTTCAGCAAGTACACCCACATTTTTCTAGAGAAGTCATCAACAAATGTCATGAAATATTTCTTACCATTGAATGACTCATGGGTAATCGGTCCACATAAATTGGTATGAATCAACCTAAGTTCTTAATTTGCTCGGTACTCGACACTCCTCGGAAAAGGGGTTCTCGTCAATTTTCTAATTACACATTCTTCGCAAAATCTTCTTTAATTCTCCAAGCTCGGCAATCCAAACACCATACTCTTATTTGACAGCTCGACAAGCTCACCAAAAGTCACGTGGTCAAACCGGTGATGCCAAATCAATATTGTATCTTCCACGTCAAGTTTCAGACACTTTTTCTGAATACCTTTCAACTGCAACTTTATACATCTTGTTCTTCTCTATCTCAATCCGAGCAATCAATCTTCAAAGTTTGTCCCTCAACTAGAGCATTCGATCTTTTATGAAAACTGTGTACCCCTTCTCCATCAATTATCTCATACTTAAAATGTTACTTTTGAGATCGAGAACAAAATGCTCATCTTGGATCATCCCCACCAGTCCATCCTTCTGTAAATAATTGATTATGCCTCGACCTTTTACTGAGACTCTCGAAGCATCTCCAAACAAAACAATATCAACATTCTTCTTCTTTAACTCTTTGAAAAGACGTTCATCACCACACATGTGATTACTCGCCCCTGTATCCAAATACCATACCGATTAGTATTAGTACTGGACTGAACTCCATCATTGTAATCAACTCCTAAGTGAATGATAGAAGGTAGATTGACCATCATGAGTGTTGGTTCTTTTTACCTTTCTGTGAGGTAGGTCTCACCCATCTTTTAACATTCTTTGACGAAATATATCTCTTTTTTATATAGTTAAAACATTTTCCCGAATAACAGTCCTTCGCATAATAACCATATTTGACACACTTAAAAAATCGATGTTTGAGTGGTTTGTCGAACGACCTTCTCTCGGACCACGTCCTCTTCCTCACCAGTTTTGTTGAACTCCTTCTTCCTTCTCGTCACCTCGGCCACCTCAACCAGATCGTTTAGATCATCCACCTCGAGCTCAACCACTACGACCTTGTTTTCATCCTCTATTATTCTGGGAATATGGTGTCTTCTCCTCTTTTAACTCAACCTTCAACATTTTGTACAATCGTCTCCTCCTTCATTTTCTTCCTCTGATACTCATGGACTCTAAGCGAACTAGCCAATTCTTGAAGCGTGAGTTCAGACAAATTTTGAGACTCTTCTATAACACATACCTTGTTCTCAAAATCGTTGGTTAACGATCTTAAAATTTTTTGCACAACCCGATTTTCAGAGATTTCCTCTCCATCATGATTGAGTTCATTCACCACGTTTTTTATACGGGTGATATACTCGGAAACTTCTTATGAGTCTTTCATTCTCATGCTTTCAAACTCGCTATTTAGGGTCTGTAATCGAACCTATTTGATTTGATTCGCTTCAAAACCTTTCTCAACTATTTCCCAACAACTCTGGGCTTTGAGGAGAGCCTGTATCTAGACACTCCATCTATCATAACTGACGTCCTTCTTCAATCGGGGCACACCCGCAACTTTGTTAGACCAACCATCTCACTTTTTAAATGCTCAACACTAAATTCTCAGTTCTAGCTCTCCTGAGAAACCCTAGTTTTGGATATCAATTTGATAATAAATCATTTCTGAAAATTGAATATTATTGATGATTCTTTGACATATCTCAAATGAGGAATACAATAGCCTATTTAACTTCTGCCAAAACCTCTAATCATAATTAGGAATTAAAATAATAATCAACTAGAATATCATCAGTCTCAAAATGTTCCAATAAACCTAACAGTTTCAGCTTCATGTCTATAATGATAACATCATTAGTGTCCATTTTTATGTCCAAGATATTGTCTCGTTGGAGGACTTTGCTCTCGGTCTCATAGTAGATATCAATGTTCCGTCTAGAAATAAGAGTGTCTCAATTTCATATTTGAAATAATAATATCATTAGGATCAATTCTTAATATAAGATATCGTCGAATATAAAACTCTTGTTCGTAATAATTTTGTTCTTAAAAGATATTTCGGTATACTAAAAAATTGGTATATATAAATTATATTTATGTCGACTTCTAAAAAAAATAAGATTTATAAAGATATTAAAATAATATGGATTAACGGTAAATAACGTAACTAATGATAATAAATAAATAATGTAAAGAGTGAAGAAAGAAAAGCTAAAGAAATTACAATTGTTAATTCTTATTGTTTTCCTACGTGGAATATTGAGTCATTATGGCACTATCATGTCAACATATTTTACAATATTCATGGTTTGGCTACGTGGACCAGGAAGAGACGGTTCGGAACATATTGAAGCATGCAACAATCACGTGTCAATGAAGAGAAGAGAGTGTGCTTGAAACAATCTACTCGTGTCATTGTAAGTTTCATGTGTGAATTAGTAGTTTTAAAGTTTCTCAATAAAACGTATCTTGTTTATATTTTTTATCCACTAAGAAGTTAAAGAAAGTTGATCTTATCTTAATTTTATTTAATTAAATAGAGTATAAAGAGAATATACAATATAAAAAAAATGACATATCTACTCCTTCCTTTAATATATACGTCGATTTCAAGATCTTATTTAATTTTTTTTGTTTTATGTAATTATTAGAAAACCATGAATTTAGACTATTGGTTCGAACCCTTAATGCAATCATAACGCCATATTCTCAAAACTGAAAGAGGAAATAACGTGTTTTCATGTGGCAGATGTTAGAAAATCAAAGAGAGAGTATAAGTTCAACAACATAGAAGAATATCTTGTTTAAGGTTTTTGGTTGAAATTCCGTATAATCTTTTATGTCGAAAAACCCATAAATGATATTATCTTATTGACCAATTATGTAAGAGTGATTATCGAAATTTTCAGACGGAAGGTGATATAGATATATAGTTGGGAAAACTTAGTATCCCATTATAAGGAGCTAAAGACAACGATGATCCTTCTCCGTCAACTTGTTGAGAATATGAGAAATCAATAGAAACCAGAAAGTTAAGTAATTCATAAATAAAAAAAAAACTCATAATTTAAGATTTTGAGTAGATATCATATTCTCCGTCCTTTAAGATATAAAGATAGTTGGGAAAGCCTAGTATCCCATTATAAGGAGCTAAAGACAACGGTGATCCTTCTCCATCAGCTATATATATATATATATAAATATATAATATGTGTGTGATTACAATCTCTAAAGTTGGTGGGGCTTGAGCAGAGTGCACAGTGAGTTTTGATTGAAAGGGCCAAAACATCGTCATGGGGAAGCACAACCCAATTTGGCTTGTGGTGTTCTTGTTGCCCTCTTAGGATCTTGTGAAGTTCAGAGTGCTGGTTTGGTTGGTTGGTGTGGTTGCTTCTTTTGTAGGTGCATTGTTTGGTGTATCTTTTTCTCATGGCTGGTGGACAGAGACAACAGAGGCTTAATAAATCATGCATTCTTCTCATAGGTAAACATTTTTCTGTCTGCTTTGGTGTTTTTTCAACCGTGTTATTGCACTTGAATTTGCTGAAGATTAAGCATGGTAGTTTCTGTTGAGAATCATGCTTGGATGATAAGAGGGAAGTGTCTAATCCCAATAATAATTTTGTCTCTAGCTCTAAATAAATGTGTCTTCTTTACCATCTTTTGAGAATAACTTACTGAGATGGATCTTAATACTTAAAGGGATTAGTTTGTAATTCTTGTCTAGGGATACTTGATTCACCCAAAAAAGATTTTCTGGGTATGTGAAAAGGGAAAGCATCCCTTGAAAACCGAGAAGCTTAGAAAGGAGTTCTATTCTAGCATCTTATAAAATATCAGAAAAAAGACAGAGTCAAGAATCTAACAAATATTATAATTCTACTGTTCTTGCCCTTTCTGATATCCTATGAGGCCATTTTTGTTTGGGGTTAAAATTTAACTTTGACATGTTCTTTGCTGCACTTTGACAGCCATTGCAGGAATAGAGAGGTTTGCATTCAAGGGCGTCGCATCCAATTTGGTGACATACCTTACTGATATGGTGAACTTGAGTAACTCATCTGCAGCAAAGATGGTTAACAGTTGGGTAGGATTTACTTCCATAATGCCATTGCTGGTTGCACCTATTGCTGATGCGTATTGGCACAAATATTCTACCATAATGGTCTCATCTTTCCTGTATTTTGTGGTGAGTCACCCTCCACAAATTTACTTTTCCCCTTTCACATTTTTACGTATTTATGAAAGTAACTCTCTTAATTATGAAGTTCCATGTATAAATTTGTACTAGGACAAAACTTCATGCAATTCTCTAGGTGCTTTCTTGTTGTGTTCTAATTATAATTGAACTTTCACTTCAATAGTTTGCATCATGGAGTTTTGAATTAAAGATCAACATAAGTCACTGAGGTGAAATTTTAACTGAGTAGAGGACAGTAAACAAAAAAATCTAAAGAAATGCGTATAACTTTGCCCTTAGTGATATATTGGAGAGCTTTACCTTACCTCTTGATTCTTTTGCCTCCTAACTTTATCGGGCACTTCAGATTTAAATACGAAACATGTTTGTGGCTGGTAATGTAGCAGACCTAAACATATGATTAGGATATCCATTGAGTTTGTAAATTGGAGTCCGAGTCCATAAGCACTCTTCTCACTAAAGATATTTGAGACTAATGTCTTCAGTGTTTTGTGGACCAATTGGAGAGCTCAGCAGCTGCAGAAAAGTTATTGGTGTTTTGGAGAATTCAGGATACCCTTCTCAATTAATGAACATTTCACCTATTTCAACTTGTCAATCTTAGTGCTGCAATTTACTATCTTCGAAATCTGATTCTCTACGCCCCACCAAAATATCTATCCAAACTTTGATTAAAAACAAAACTGATGGAAAAAGTTTCGTTGGCAAGGAAGAACATGTGGTACGTATGTTAAAGAACTGTGGTATGTTCTTCTACATCAGCAGAACAAAACTCACAAACACTGAAAATGTCAAATGGAATATTCCAAGCATGGGTTAGGTGTAAATTCCTTTGCTTGAACGATCTTTTATAGCTCTGCCAGCTGCAACATCCAATCTTAGGCACTGAATTTGATATGTACAACCACATGTGGTAGATAAATATCCATCCATATAGTAATTCAAAAACTGATACAGGTGCACCAGGTTAAGGAATAGGAATATTGTTATCATCATTTATAATAAGATTATTGCTAACTTCCTAACATGACCTGAACATGTCTCTCATTAGTGACGTGTGTAACTTACATTTAAAAACTTAAGTAGAAATAAGGACTTAATTAAAAAAATAGTATTTCGTACTAAATGAATGGATAAATACAAATAAATTTTATTTCAAAAGTGGACTTTGAAATAGGAATCAATGACATGCAACTTCATGGATGTAACCCAAGTGAACTTGTCCCCAAATTTACACCACACAATTATCACAAGGCAACAATGATTATATTATTATAAAAATTCTTCTTGTCTTACTTTCACTTTAGAAGAAAGCATACCACTACTACTTTTTTTAAGTTATTAAATTAAGAACTATAGCACCACTAGCTAAAAGGGGATCATTATTGAAAAAATCCCTCATTGAGATGACCAAAAGTTATTTACCAATTATAGTATCATGTATTAGGCATTTTCAACGGGGCTAATATAAAGATTCTCATAAATGGAATATGAGTCAACTATATAAAAGAATATGATACCATCTTCAACAAAAAAATCTTAAGATATTAGATTATAATTTTTTCTCACCTTTTAAGTTACTTAACTTTTCTATTTCTACTCAATATATGATTTCAACTTCCTCTTAGATTCCCAAAACCATAGAGAGTCGATTTTGATATCATGGTTTCATATCATTAAGGTACTTTATTCATCAGAAAGCATAAGTAAGACCACAGTACATTGATTTTTTAAGTGCTTAACAATTTTTCATATTATTGGTGTGTGGTTTTGTTACTTTACATACACGCACAATGACATAGGCAGAATTTTGTGGATGCTTCTGCTAGTAGAATTTGAATTTTCAATGTTTGCTCAATAAGTTAACTATGTTTTCTTGTGTGTTCTCTTCTTAGGGACTTGCAGCATTGACAACGACAGCTTTAGCAAGGTCATGGCATCACAGAAACAGAACAATGTCTTCTTCATTTCTCTCGCTGTCTCTCTACTTAATTTCATTAGGACAAGGTGGATATAACCCATCTCTGCAAGCCTTTGGAGCAGATCAACTTGGTGAGGAGGAAGAATTGCCTTGTAGCAAAGATGATAAAAGTTGCAACAAAAAGACTCTATTCTTTAAGTGGTGGTATTTTGGTGTTTGCAGTGGAAGCCTATTGGGTGTTACAGTCATGTCCTACATCCAAGACACCTTTGGATGGGTACTTGGATTTGCCATCCCTGCTATTTCAATGATTATGTCCATTTTAATTTTCTCTGGTGGTAGTCCTATATATCTATATAAACAACATGATGTCTTTCAAAATAAGAAGCCCCTCAGGAACATATTTCAAACCATAAAAGCTTCTGCATTGAGATGTTTCCATTGTGAAATTACCCTACCAAATGACAAGTCTGAATTGGTGGAGCTAGAGTAAGTTCTACTTTCATACAAAGACTTAATTGCACTTTTTGTTCCTTATTATCATCGAAATTCAATTTTATCTCACTATTTTTATTGGTCGGTCATCCACTGTTTTAATTGTAAAATTTTGGTTCATTCTTTAACTTGACATCCAATATTTAATAGAAATGTTGACAATGCAATGCATGAGATGGTCATGTCAGCATTTATGCTAAATATTAGATATTAACAGAGGAATTAAAATTGCACAATTAAAACAGTAGAGAACTAAATTCAGGTAAAAAAGAAAAAAAAGAGAAATAAAATGACCAAATCGAATTTGAACAATAAAAGAAGTAGGGAAAGTACAATTAAATTTTAGATTTACTACTATGACATTCTCAATGTACTTACACATGAATACATGTTTTTTCTGTGTTAGGCTTCAAGAGAGACCCCTTTGTCCTGAAAACTTGGACAACCTTAAGGATTTGAATAATGATCCTAAAAGTGGCATGTATCTGCTAGAAAATGTCAAGGTTATGGTGAGGCTTTTGCCCATATGGACGATGCTTCTCATGTTTGCAGTGATTTTCCAGCAGCCTGCCACATTTTTCACAAAACAAGGCATGACAATGAAGAGGAACATTGGTACAGATTTCAAGATCCCACCAGCCACACTCCAAAGTGCAATAACATTGTCCATAATACTACTGATGCCATTGTATGACAAAATATTCATACCAATCACTCAGGTGATCACTAGGCAGGACAAGGGTATAAGTGTGATGCAAAGGATGGGAATTGGAATGGTTCTCTCCATCATAGCCATGGTTATTGCAGCTCTAGTTGAGATGAGAAGGCTTGACATTGGAAGGAAAATGAGAAGTGCAGGATTACATACAGAAACAGTGCCTCTAAGCATTTTCTGGCTGCTACCACAGTACATTCTTCTTGGCATCTCAGACATTTTCACAGTTGTTGGGATGCAAGAGTTCTTTTATGGCGAAGTTCCCAGGACAATGAGGACAATGGGAATTGCCTTGTACACCAGTGTTTTTGGGGTTGGAAGCTTTGTGAGTGCACTGTTGATTACACTAGTTGAAGTGTACTCAAGTTCGAAGGGAATACCAAGCTGGTTCTGTGATGATATGGTTGAAGCACGGTTGGACAGTTACTATTGGCTTTTAGCATGGTTAAGTGCAGTGAGCCTCCTACTGTATGCACTCTTGTGTAGATATTACCTTAAGAAGAGTGATTCAGATAGTGAATATTGAGGGTTTCTTTTTTCTTCCTCTTAACTTTTCAGGTGCCATCATCCTTTTAGGCTATAGTTTGTTGAACTACATGACCTGATATGGAATAACAGCAAATGTATGATCTGTGTGTTTCATGTTACTAAGAGTGGAAAAGATAAAATCAAGAAACTGACAGAGTTAGTATTTAGTCAAGCATTTGGAGTTTTGGATTAAAAAATGTAGTTTCAACTTGACATATTTTGACAAACTATAATATTTTACATGTATCTTATTGTTTTTGTGTTCATTTTGATGTTCACATTTTCAACTTAACATTTTCACATTTCCACAGAACATTTTTGTTTGGTAAGTTATGAGTTTGACCTCATACATCAGTATAAACATGTAAATAATGAAAGAAAGAACAAAAAATGATATATAAACAAAGATGTTTGTCTCCATTGGGTGACACCTAGGTGTTTCTATTAATGAGCATTCATAACTATGATGGTTTGTAGCATCAATAACTAATGGCACAGTAAATGCAACAACTTGATCATTAGATATATGGGTGAACTAACTTATTAGTTGTCATTAAAATCAATAATTTTGTAATTAAATAACAGCCCATGATCAAATAATGAAATAATAATAAAAGAAATTAAACTCAAAAAGAAAATGTTCTGGTAAATACAAATAGCAAAAATCTCTTAAAATAAATTTGATAGAATTAGTGTATATTTTTCGTATATTATCATATTATTATTCATGATTAAATTAAAAATCCTACTTGTGATTCGTTCTTATAATTTATTTATTAATACTTTAATGATTTAAAATAATAATTTATCTTTAAAAATAAATATTTAACTTTTATTATTAAAATAAATCAATATATATATATATATATATATATATATATATATATATATTTGTTGAGTGAGGATAGAGAAATTGTTTTGGTGCAAGCCATGATTGATAGAAGAGTGGAGTGGATATGGTTTGAAAAAAAAAAAAAAAAGAATAATGAAAAAAAATGATAAGTGGGTTGGGGGCAATATGTACCCCGCAATGTCCTATTGTGGTTTGCCCAATGTCCATAATCCCTAAGTTAGGATCTTCACAATTTTGTGGGTCAATGTTCCTAAAGATTTCAATACAATCTAACCTACCCAATTTAAAGGAAGGATCTTTACGGACATATCGTCCTTTGATAGAGCTTTTGGTGATGTTCTTGGTGGTTACTTCAAAGCTTTCACAAGTAACGATTGAAATCATATTCGGCTAAAAATGACATAAAAAAAAAAAAACAGCAACATATATTTTATGAAACTGAAACGTGAAAGAAAGAAACGGAGAGTGATAAAGAAACTGTTACATATGAATATACTTGTTTTATTGGTTTTTGGTGTGTCATGAAGCATGGATTTTAAGAGAGTGAGTTACTTGGGGTGGTGTTTTGTTCTGGTTTTGGTAGGTTTATGGATGGTAGAAGCGAAGGGAAAGGATGAAGAAGATGATGATGTTGTTGTGCATGAATGGAAAGAATACTCAGCAGTTTATAACTTTGGGGACTCAAATTCAGACACAGGAACATTTTCTGCAGCATTTGCAGCGGTTTTTCCTCCCAACGCTCAATCTTTTCCTGGAAATCTCCTCCCTAAAAGGAACTGTGATGGCCGTCTCATCATTGATTTCATCTGTAAGCACAAACCAAATCTTCTGTTATTTTATAACCATTCCAATGATAAGACATGAAAAATTCTCTTTGAGGAGTATGATAAAATTCCGCATGAATTAGAAATACAATATCACTACAATGCACAAATCAGGATGGTAACTCACCATTTCACCATTCATGGTCATTTTTAATGTGGTGACTATTTAGGTGAAGAGTTGAGGATGCCATACTTGAGTTCATACTTGGATTCCATTGATTCAAATTACAATTATGGGGCAAACTTTGCAGCGGGTGGTTCATCCATTCGACAGACAGGCTTTAGCCCAATTCATTTTGGGCTTCAAATTTCTCAATTCATACAGTTCAAGTCCAGGACAATGGCTCTCTACAATCAAACCTCTCACACAGGTTAGTTTACCTTCCTTTATTTATGTTTACAGATGTTAAATGGGTAATCAATTTTTTTTATTATTCTCCAAAAATACTAGTTAAAGAATTGAAAGATTTTTTTTCTTTTATTGAAAATTATAAAAAAAATTGTATCTTTATTCATTTCAATAAAAAAAAATGATGTATTTTGTATTATAGGAGTAGATGTGCCAGTGAAAAGTAGGTTACCCAAGTCCATGGACTTCTCCAATGCCCTATACACCATAGATATTGGTCAGAATGATCTAAGCTTTGGTTTCATGAGCTCAGATCCAAGATCAATCAGATCAACAATCCCAGATATATTGACCCAATTCTCTCTTGGATTGCAGGTAATCTGTTCATTGCTTGATTTGTTGAATGAAAAAAAAACATTGAAAATGTGTTGAGGAAAATGAAGATTCTACATTCACCATTGTCACACTTAACCTAACAGTTCTAGAGCTTCCCTTTTTTGCTCAAACGAAAAGCACAATTTCATGACTCTTGTGTTGGTTTTGCTTCAGCAACTTTTCAAAGAAGGAGCTAGGTTCTTTTGGATACATAACACTGGTCCAATTGGATGCTTGCCACGACAAAACATGGTGAACAAGACCACACCAGAAGACTTGGATTCTGCAGGATGCAGAAATTTTGAGAATGAGATTGCTCAGGAGTTTAACAAGCAACTTAAGGAGATTGTGTTTGAGCTAAGGCAAAAGTTAGCTCCTGCCATGTTCACCTATGTTGATGTCTACTCAGCCAAATATGAACTAATAAAAAATGCAAGGAATCAGGGTGAATATGTCTCATAATATTTTCAAATTTGGTTTTAGTTCTCCTCATAAAAATTCAGTCTTATACCTTGAATTACATGCTCTTGAATGTGGCAGGTTTTGTTAATCCAAACAAGTTCTGCTGTGGCACAAGCAGTGTTATCCATGTTGATTGTGGAAGAAAGAAGATTAAAAATGGAAAAGAAGAATACTGCAAATGTAAACATCCATCAAAGTACATCAGTTGGGATGGGGTGCACTACTCTGAAGCAGCAAACCAATGGCTTTCCACTTTCATTTTAAATGGTTCTTTCTCTAATCCACCTCTTCCTATAGGGATGCTTCCTTCTCAAGGTTGAAGGAAACCTCTAACCCTATGTAGTTAGGTCAAAAAGAGATATTGGTATTTAACAACTCAATACCTGAAAACTTGATGCATGGCATTACAATTATTCAAAGAAACGCGAAAAAGAAAATGTTCATTTACCTTTGATGTGTTTGAGAGAATAGTTTTTATTTATTTATACACATGTTTAAATATAATGAACATAATGTTTCATCTAAAATCCCTATCTTTAACAAGTTAAAAATAAAATAATTCAATCAATCTAAATCACAAAAATATCAAAACAAATCAAATCAAACCTGGCATTATATTTATGCATGTATATTCAAATAAAATCATAATTGATTTCATTTAACCACTTATGATTCTTCAAATTTGGAAGTGCAAAATCATGCCCACAAAACCTTTTGTACCCACAGACAAATATTTGCTACGATTGGCCAAGAATGGTGTTGTTTAATAAAAATGGGTGTCCAACAACTTAGCCATGTGCACATGAAGAAATAATGGGACATGCATGTTTAAAAGAGGATGTAACAACTCAAACAAATGCACATGAAGGAATAATTTGATGTGTTTCAGAAATTATGTGAAGGAAAGTTACGATGATCACATATGTGGGTAATGAATAAATAAAGTGAGATTATTCTCTCTAAAAAAAAAAATCTACTAGCCAATAATAGTTTTTATTTCTATATACTAAAATCATTTTAAATTCTTTTCTACATTTTAAACAAACATGAATTTCCACGTTTAGGAAGTACAGCGTAAGTAAGAGTCTAATAATAAATACAAGGAAGTATTAACGAGGAGAAAAAAAATAATTAAAAAAAAACACTATTAGTAAAAAAGACATTTGAACAGTAATATGAAATATATTATTTTTAACAAGAAAATAAGATTTTTCTATATTTTATATTTTATTTACTTTAAAATATTATGGATTGCTTTTAATTTAAAATAATAAAAAATTATATTATTATTTTAAATAAAAATATGTTTTATTTAGATCAATTAAAATTTTCTTTCTTATTTTATTTTTTAATAAATTTTGTAAATACAAAGCCTTCTTTATTGCTTTGTTTTGTTATATAGTATTCTAGTGAGTTTTATATTTATATTATTTAAGAGTTAAATTATTAATAATTTATATATTTTATCTTTTAAAACTGTCATGAATTAAAATTAAAAAATAAAATTATAATAAAATAATATTTCAAATTAAATAATATCTCAAATATAATAATAAACTGTAACTTTTACTCTTCTTCCATTGTTTCAACCACAATTTTGTAACCAAATAATAATATAAATATTTTTAAAATAAGAGAGAAAAAGAATTAATTTCATTAAAGAAAAAGTGAGCTAAGTAGAAAGAGGAGCTATGAGTGATGATTAAAATGCAGGTCTAATAAAGGGTGACATCATTGAAATTATGTTGCCCAATTTTTCAACCATCCATTGAATGACTACTCATAAATATGTTACATGTCTCCTCTTTTACACATGCCAAACAACTTATTATAACACCTCTGCTACAATGTGTGTTTATTCAAAGATTTATTAATGATTTTTTTTAATATTATTTATTAAAAAATATTAGTTAAATAAAATTAAAAAAATTATGAAAATAAATAAATAATTAAATTAAAAATTTCAATTTTTACCTAAAAAACAAAAATTAATTTATATCTCTTTTTCTCATATTAAATAGTTAATTAATATTTAATATATATATATATATATATATATATATATATTATTGTGTAATATAGATAAGTCTAGATAAAATCATCAGAAATTATTTCTTTTTTCTTTTACCATTTTTGATAAATTGTTTCCAAATTTGTGTGTGACATTGAGTTGAAATTCATTGTTTTACCATGGTTTTTATTCCCTGAAGTTTGTAAGCATTATGGGTTAGTTCTAGTTACTCTCAACCTTTCACATCATTAGCATAAAGTAACCTACTTTTTGTAACAAAAAAGTACTAACATTAATTCTTGTCCATGACCAGAGACTCAAGTAAGCCAAGTGTCCAAAACAATTCAATATTGTGGAAAGGAAAGAGATAAAAATCTCTTGACTCAGGTAAAAGTTAAAGTAATTTTGCCGACACTAAAATTACTTTAATATTTTCGAAAACCTAGAAATTTAAATCTCAATTATGCATCAACAACCAAATCATGTGTAACGTATCTTCTCGAAATGAAGTCAAACTTTGATTGTTTTCCAATTTACTTTATGTGCTTCAATTCCTTCTGGCGCCATGGAGAAGCTAATTGTTAATTTAAACAATAATCATGTTTAGATACACAATTTTATAGTATTTTTTCTTTCTTTCTTTTATTATATATGCCAATTATCATTTGAGATGTTATTTTATAATTGAGAATTTTTTAGTTTTTTTAATACCAATCCGTAGAGTCAAACTCATTTACGATAAAGATTAAAAATTTATTTAGATGAGATTCTCTATAAGAATTAGTAAAAAAAGTAAATTAACTTGTCTTGTTTACAAATTAATAATAAAAGTTAAAAAGCTTCAATAATAAATTGATTTTTTTTCTTAAATATTATTTTAGAATAACTAATGTCATTAAACGGGAGAGATTATTCAAGTGTGAATTTAGAAGTTAATAATTTAGACAGGCCAATGAAAGATTTGAGATAACACCTAATTAGTTAATGTATTACAATTATGTTGCACGTACATTCATACTAAGATTAAGTACAACATGATTTGGGAATACACAAATATCAAATTTGTCAACACAACTACCAAACCATATCAATAAAGATTCATCCGATTAATCATCAAATCTCTATAGGGTCCGAAAATGTTGTGTGAAAAAGCAAATCTTATTAATCGATTCTGAGATTTTGAATCTGATTCTCTCTTAACTTAAAAAAACAGCACATAACAGAGATTCCAAATATATATATATATACATATAACTCCTTCTGCAGAAGCTTTTTTTTTTTTTTTTTCTGATACAAAATCAAGCTAGCTGAGAGCCTGAGACTAGATTCATGGATCTCTGGTTAAACATTCCAAGATCACGATGAAACACAACATAAACTACACATACAGATTTTGGTGGTCACATCGACTTGGTGAACGCAGTTGCTACATATATATACAAATGGTTCATTGAGTTGGTTGATTCAGAGAAGTGGAGAATCACCATGTGTTCTGCACAACCCCCTTTATTCACCATTGAAGCAAAAGCCACACCAACACAAGGTTGGATTTTTCTGCCAAGAGAAAAACACTGACACAGCAATGATGATTAGACTCGGCACATGCAGTAATATGGAGTACACCTGGCCCACTTCAGCAACTTCCAACAATCTCCCTTGTTCTTGTTCTTCTTCTTGTGGTTGGATTTCTTGGAAGAATTACCAAGCTCTGATTCGGTTCTGTTCAGCATCTCCCACATCACTTGAATGTCCTCATACTCACATGCCCTCACATCATGCCTTAGCTTCAGTAACCCTGCAAATTTGTTTCCCATACATTCATCTAGTTAAGCAACTTGGTAGCTTTTGTCTGAACTCTATAATTTCACTTCAACCATGTTTCTCCTATCTTACAAATAACCCGTAAAAATGCTTAACCATTATCTTTTAGCATGAACTTTCTTTAGATAATGAGAAGCACAAAATCATATTGCTCACATCTTATACCTCAAAATTTTCAACATCTACCACCATTTCTCCTCCTTACTGACCAAAAAAGCTCATACTTCTCATATCAAATTCATCAAAGAAACAAAACAGAACAAGTAAAACCACTCGTGCAACACATGCAAAACTCCAGAGTCCTAACCCCGCTTAAAATGATCATATCCAATTAGAAATGAAATACAAAATAGAGATATTGATGAAATGAAATCAGCAGAAAACTTACCATTTTTGCGAATTCCGAGGCGCGTGGTGACGCCAAACCAAACCCGTCGAACGGGGTACATCATGTTCTTCCACCACTTCACCCGCCGAGAAACATTCATCTCCTCCATCATCTTCAAAATGCTATAATTCAAAAGAAGAATAAAAATTAGAAAAAATTATGAATTCCTTTAACCTTTTAAATGAAAAAAGACGAAAGTAAATGCAGAATCAGAATGGTAACATTTGACAAAGAGATAAAGAGAATTAACGAAACGCGGAACCGGTTAAAACAAGAGAGGAACTAGAACTAACTGAGAATTTCGAGGTGGTGTATTTGGTTTCTCGGCGAAAGGGAGGGACAACTCAACGAGGTTGTGAGGAAGGGAACGTGGTTGATTGTGTTCATAAACTGGTGTTTTCAGCGACCTGTTACAACCGACAGAGCCATCGAGAGTGTGCCACGTGGCGGAATCTGGAACCGTTGCTGAGCTGTGAGGTGTTTCGTTGGGATTGTGACGTTTGTGCGTGTGTGTAGAGCAGCTATTGGTGGTTGCTTCCTTGGCTTCGTACAGCCATGTGACGATATTGTTCCAACTGGGCCCCACACGCCAGATATTTTTTTGCTAAAAATGAAATATTCAGGATTATAAAAATAAGTTTTGTTTTTTTAATATTTTTAATAAACTATTTTACATGCTCAGACAGAAAACTGGATTCTCGTTAACACGTTAACCAAACTATTTTCTCTTCTTAAAATAACATTTTGTTTCACGGATTTAACTATCTTTTTTTGGAATTA